GTGATAGCTGATTGCATAGGCCTACTGGGGTTGGGTCAAGTCAGGAACAGGTTCGGTTAGTGTGATTCCCCCCCACTGGGGTTGGATCGAGTCAGGAACAGGTTCTGTTAGTGATAGCTGATTGCTTGTGCCCATTGGGGTTAGGTCGAGTCAGGTACAGCCGTACAGTACAGGTTATGTTAGCGGAAAGTGATTGCCTATGCCCACCACACTGGGGTTAGGTCGAGTCAGGTACAGGTTCGGTTAGTGTGTTTCACCCCCCCTCCCCCCGTATTGCGTCAAGTGAGGAAGAAGAGGCCAAGTTTCCTTGAGGCGTTGCTGGTCATTGACTTTTTTTGGTGGAGTGTAAATAAAAGATAAATTTCGCTTTAGATAACTTTGTAATCTAAATCGAATGAGAGACATTGTTGTGAGATGTGTGTATTATAAAGTAAAAAAGTGTAAAATGAATGAAGAAAAAGAAGAGGGGGGGGGGTGAGGTGGTGAATAACTGGTTTGCTAGGCAATAGCGAACCTGTGCATGCTGTGCATTTCAATTTTGCCGAAGCCATTGACAGTGTTCAGCACGAGCGGCTGTTATCATATGTTCACAATTTTGCTAACAATGATTACGGATGATTTCATTTCTTTATATTCCACTTTCTTAATCGTGAAAATAAAATTTCATATTTCAGAATTGCAAGGCGTGCTTTGCAGTCACAAGCAAAATGTTCCTTGAAGTATTCACATAACATTGCTATGTAGTTATTCAGCCGACGACACAAAAATTTATAATACAGTGAAGGATGCGTAAAATAAAGCGCAAATGCAAGCTGATCTTGACAGGTTAGTTAACTGGGCTGATACGTGGCAGCTGCGGTTGAATGCTGACAAGTGTAAAGTAATTCATCTCGGGGAAAACAATGAACAGCAAGATTACAGTATGAGACGACAAGGTTGCAACGAGAGAGTAATGATTGAAAAGTCTAGTGTGTAAAAAGATCTCGGAGTTTATGTCGACAAGGAGCTGAAATTTTCTAAGCAAGTTGAAACGAAAGCTAATACATCCATCAAACTTCTTGGACTAATCAGACGCTCATACGAGTTCCTAGATGCAGAAGCGATGAAGCAGTTATTTGTTGCTGTCGTGCGCCCGAATCTAGAGTTTGGAAACGTGTGATCACCGAGATTTGAAAAGGATAAAAATTTATTAGAGAATGTTCAAAGACGTGCAGCAAGGATAATTCCAGGCTTGGAGGGCAAGTCCTAGAGATAAAAGATTACGAAGCTTCCAAGCCTCAGATATCGACGTCTGCGTGGGGACCTCATTGAAGTATACTCGTGGTTTATACAAGGTCCCCGAAGGATTACTAGAATTTGAAACAAGAACCAACACCAGGGGTCACGGCTTTAAACTAAAAAAACTGCGCTGCAACTTGTCCACGCGACATTTCTTCTCGCTTCGAATCACAGACAGGGGAACAGCCTCCCAGATTACATTATTGGCGCTCCGAGTGTGAACACGTTCAAGAACTGACTAGATAAAGCTATGGAAAAATATCGGTTCAGATTTGAAATGACTCGCAGCTAGCACCATATCGAACCCGGTGGAAGTCTGGTAGCTATTTCAAACTATCGTCAGTCTTGAAAATATCCGGTCAAATGACAAGATTTAGATCTTTGAACAAGTCATGAAAAGTTCAAGATTCGGCGACAGGCCACATCAGGCCTACTCTTAAGCGCCGACATCACTGTTATGTTTTGTTCATCATCCTCCAAAGAAATCTATCGAAATCATTTTCTGACAAATTAAAACCTCACCAGGTAATGGCCACAATCCTCGTACTTACATAAAGTTCCGATATATTTTCAAATTCTGACACTCGTGAAAATGGGTGTCCCAGTCATCACAATTCAGAGTACCAAGATTGGAGCAGAGAGGTGCGGGTTCGATCCCAGCTCTATGCGCGTTTCTGGTCAGAATCGGCAAGGAGGCCGGGCGGTTAAGCAAAGCCTTTACATTATACACATGACTATCCTGGTGTGCCCTACAGATGCATTTCCAGCATCATTCTTTCTCGGCCATTCTGGAGCACATATACTGACGATGTAGCGACACACTAAAGGTCAACTAGAAAAAGTTAAAAAGGAGAGGAATGAAGAGAAAAATTGTCCTGTCACTTTAATTTTGGCGTCCAAATTTAAACGAGATCATTAAATCTATTCATCATCTTCGTCTTCATCACCCTCTTCTTCATCTCCTCCCTCCTCGTCATCTTCTTCCTCCTCTCCTCCCTCCTCATCAGCTTCTTCATCTTCTCCCTCCTCATCAGCTTCTTCATCTTCCTCCTCATCAGCTTCTTCATCAACCTCATCTTCGTCTTCATCTACTTTCACTTTTTTCTTCGGGTTTTCTGTCTTATTCTCGCCATTCTTCTGCGCCTTGCCCTCTTTCTTGTTCTGTTGTATAGATATTGCAAATAAAATCAACACATCTCTGAAGGAGGAATGCATCAGGCACTAGTTTAACCAAACAATATCTAAAACAATTTAGTTTATCTTAAAATGGATATCAGCGTCACAGGAAGGAGACCTCGTATCCTGAACAGAATACATCGATGAGTATTTACATTTGATTCAAACCGTAACATTGAGTAGTGTATAAATAACCAACTAAATTCACCATACTTCAATTGAAAAAGAATCAAATGTCAACTACTTCGTCAGTTCAAAAATTAGAGTATAACAAGGAGCATTTCTCACCTTTGCGTCTTTTACAACCAACTGGGCACCATCAATCTACGAGAAAAGAGATAGAAGATCAATTAGATCACAATTTTTTCTCAATGGCATTTGAAAAACTTTAGATTACTTGTTATCAAGTTTCTGCTGGAAAATTCACTCAAATGACAATACCAATTATTTATATATAAATCGCTTGTTACAGAATAAAAACCCATTGCAAACGTCATAGTCATTTGGGATTGGGAGATGATCACAAAAATCTATTATCTATTATAAGTATTTCTTACCACATGCGATTCCTTTAAAGCCTTCTTGAAATCCTTTTCATTCTTGAATGCAACAAAGCAGAAACCCTTATTGATTCCTTTGTGTACGTTCCACGGTAAAGTTACTTGTAAGATTTCTCCGAACTTTGAAAAGTATTTTTCAATAGCATCTTTACCCGTCTGGAATTTAAGCTTTGCTGCAAAAAGCTCATAGTCAAATTTAGGAAATTCTTTCTTGGCTTTCTGCAATAGAAAATAATAAAAAATAGTAAGATGAAACCATAATAAACGATAATTATGTAGAGTATAGATTCGATTTATTAACTCTGGATAGAAGAGATTTAAAAATTAAAAATATAATTGAGTGAGCTACTAATATTTGATGGGGATTAAAAAAAATTAATGTGGAATGAAGTGAACTAGGTACTATACATAACAAGTAATTTTTATCCGTGGCTTTTTTTTAAATACAAGTAGCTGAGTATACTCCAAACCTTCCCATTCAAATACTATGGTTCTTGATAAAATTGAGATATAATTCTTTTCATTGAACTATTTACAGCCTAATTTTCAATGCATAAGTGGCAGCATAGTAGATCACTAGTTTAAGAATTAAAATGCCCAATATATTCATTTATATATTTTAGGATTCAGCTACCAAATGGTAATGGTGGAGAATATGCTTCAACTACCTATTTAAAATTTAGGTATTACAAGATTGCATTACAAATAGCCAATGAAAAAATTTTGAATTTACCTTGGCTGGTGACTGGTTTTGGGGTTTGTTTTGAGGCCGCTTCCTTTTAGTTGACTCGACTTGCTTAGGGTTTGCCTTCTTCTCAGATTTGTTTTCAGCAGCTGCCTTCTTGTTGAATTTCTTTGGGGCATCAGCCTTTTTAATTGGTTTTGCTGGGGACTTTGTGGTGGCAGCAGCAGCAGCCTTCTTATTGATTGTGTTCTTAGCCATGTTTTTTGATTTGTTTTTCTTGTCCTGAATCATTAAGTCATGTCAAAATACATAAATAGTCATATCAGTATACATATATAGTAATGTCAGAATACATACATAGTCAGGTTTACATGAGCAACCACAGCCCTAGCTAAAAAGTCTGCTTAGGATCTTAATGTGATCAGAACCATTCATTAAAAAAATATTTAAAACTAATCCATTTTTGAAAATAAGATGTGTTCAAGGTGATGACATTTTATTTCCAAAAATTTCAACTTCTGCAATGTTATCATCTACCTTCAGTTTGGTTCGACCAAGCTGGAAATTAATCAAATTATAAGGTCTGATTCTAAAAAAATATTCAATCATTACAAGCAAGTGTGCTATCAACATGTGCATTCATCCAAGAGAAATCTCTTCATAATTAATGTAAGTCAAGCTATAAGTATTGTTATTGCACAAGTAAGAGAGAAACAAGTTACTTATAGGTGTACATACTACAGTTTTAATATCAAAAAGAACAAAATAATGTTAGTGATAGGAATTGCAAATTATTCAAAACTCACCACAGAAGCTTGAACCATGCTATGTATATACGTAAATTCGCAGATTTTGGGTTTCAGTGCAGGAGTTGTGGTATCTGGAACGACAATAGCAGTCATTAAAATGAATTTAAAAAGTCATTTTGAAGTAAATAACACAAAAGAGAATAAATTTAGATAAATTTGTATTTGGAATGGGTCTCATGTTTAGAGACCTAATAGGAAATTGTTCAGAATATCATGAATAAGGCACAACTGCAAAAGCCCCAGGGTGCAGAGGCCAGAGGAAGAGGGTGGATCGTGGATGCAGCATCGCCAATATACCTATGGGTTTTTAAGCCATAAGCATCGCCGGGTAATTTTAAGATGCGTTGCTGGGTAATTTTTAATGAAAAGCCATTTATGCCAAGTAATGAAAACTATTTACAAGCCACAAACTTATTTAGCTCTAATGTGACTGTAACTACGTAATCGTAAACTTGATGTTTACATTTTTTTGGCGGGAACTCATCGCAACTGATTTCCAGACAAGCTTCACTTTTTTAAATAGTTGGCCAAAGACTGACAAATATATTAAATCCAAGAATTTCAATCTAAATGTGTTGGCAAGATCTTCTGAAGGCGTAAATTTTGCTACTGAAACATCGCCAAAGATCTTGCAATATTCATCCACTCTCTGCACAGTTACAAAAGCCCATAAAGTGAAAATATTAGGAAGTTAGAACCAGCCATTCAGCCAGGGTGCTGGACTGCATTGCCATGAATAATGCTTAGGAGCTAAACCAGCTAGGACAAAATGTTTGGAAAAATACCTATATTCTTTCCAAGATTTCAAATCCATCAATCACAGGAATGACTGAAGTTACTGAACCAGTTTGAAATTATCTTGGAAATGTAGAGGCATGAAATTTGAGAAACACATTTAGGCTAATCTCTTCTACTTTTAGCTTGCCATTCAGTTCCTCAAATCTTATGAATTTTATAATACCTATGTTTACTGTAAGTCAAACTAGGTAGGTAGGAAATTGGGTAGAAGCCACCCACAAATGTGTTAATACCTAATCATTCTTGCAGGGTGCAGGCTACAAGCATGAGTTGGACACTTGCAATTGCATCCATTTCTATGACCTAGCTATACCATTTCCTTAATATTTTAGAGTAAAGAATTAAAAACAAATTTCATTTCTGAGAATCATCTGTAAAATTATTTTCATCTGCAGTTTCCAGATTATTTTGCCTGAAATTGCAATATACTGTTACAGTTAGGTACATACTACAGTAAGTTACAGTAGTGACTTTTTACAGAATCCAGCCTCAAGGTTTAAAATGAGTAGGTAGGCGGCGTAGGCCTACTAGCGACTAGCCTAGGCATGGTGCCAATCCATAGGTTATTCAAAAGAACCTGTTCTTATGTCATTTTGAACCGATCAACACTTCTTTATGGACCGATCGTAAAACACACCTTCACCGGCAAAAGCTTTCACACTTCTGAAGAAGGTGAGCTGACCATAGTGGCAAAGTGGAGAGTTTTTTAGACTCTCCCTCTGTCCCTCAAGTTCATTTTTGAGTCCTATAAGTAGACCAGTAAAGTATCATGGATACCACTCATACCAGCATTATCTTACATAAGAAATTGGTTTAAGTCTTGAATAAATAAGGAAATTAGAAATGAACTGATTTTAAAAAATCTCTGGTTTGTCACAATATTTATATCAATTTCAAAACTTTACGTATTTCTAAAGGGAGTTGTGATGAGACCATGGGAGTCGAACCGTTGAGTTTAGACCATTGCAACTTGCAACAGGGGCCCAAGGGCCAAGGGCATGGGGCCTTGCGAAGGGTTAAGACCGCGGACCGCCGCACGGCGGTGGACTGACATAAGTACCTCTCTTCATAGACTTCCACTATGAGCCTAGGTAGTTATAATACAAGAGCAAGTTCAAATGCCAACTGATCATTAGTGAAAAGATATTAGGTAGACTCTACAAATATGAGAAACAAAATGACAACTTTGATACAACTCATACAAGAACAGAAAGACGACGCATCAATGGCATCATCACAATATCAACTACCGTAACGAACTAAGGATGTTCTCACGTGGTGCCATCGTAGGCTAACCGCTAACCTACCTCGCGCTCGCCGTGCGGCGTGAAAAAGAAATCAAGAGATAAACAATAAAATAATAACATGATCACACCATGAAACTATCATTGCAATTAGGAAACGTAAACAATTGAACTGGAACAATTCAATACCAAACAGAAATCAAGCACATTTTAAACAATTTTTGAGACGCATGGCACATAGGTAGTCCTGTGACACACTAAGTTCAATGGAGGGACAGGCGGGCTAGAGCCGAGCGGAGACTGAAGATATTTCGATTAAATTTCCAGATGTAACCGAATGAATGGGAAAATAATCTTCGTAATATAGCAAAGTTAACAATTATTAGCTAGAATAGGACAAGTACTTGCATAGTTATAAAAATTTAAGAGAAAAAGTCAGAGGAGAAGAGCACAAACACTCACCTAGAGAAGCACAGAAATGATGAGCTTGACGACGCTGTCGCTTGGTGGCGGAAAGATATTATGGTTCGTTTGAAATTGACGCTTGTGATTCAACGCTAGACAACATTCTATCAAGAAAATGGGAACTTTGCTTTTTCTGTATTGTATATTATGGTTGGAGCAGATCCTTTTAAAATCTTCAGTCCATGTTTTCACTGTAAAATAACGTAATCAATTTATTAGAAATTTTTGACAGAAATTCGTTTCGCATAATTGCAGCTGAAGTACCTATTCAAATCTGTTTGTGGAACTTCAACAGCTTAAAGTTTTGTTTTCAAAATCCTCTACAAAATGATTACGCTTCAGAAGGAAACATGATAGAATGAAATTCAATTGTTCTATGATGGGTAGAATTAGCAATTTCATAGTAAAATATTGTTACATCACACACAGCTACAGTCTTGAAATTTTTGAGAGGCAATATCGTTCGATGATTACATTATTTACCTTTTGAAATCAACAGTCAGATAACAATTAGATATCAAAGCATGGCGCGATAGACGGGCTGGAGATGATTAAGAATATAGCGGCTTGACTAAGAAGTGCTTCCAGGTGCTCTGCGGAACGTCTCGGACAAATTTACGGCCGGACCCGCAGCCGGTCTCGCGGAGGAGGCTTTGAGAGGGGACATGGGATGGAGTACAGGAGAAAAGGAGAGGAGTTTTGTGGCTAATAGTAGGACGGAAAATAATGAATGATGAACGTTGGGCACAAAAGATGCGGGTACGCCAAGTGCCCGCACACCCAAGGACGAATGGGTGGTGACAATACTAATTATTACCGAAATAGATTAGGTTAAAAAAAGATTGAATACTAAAAGAATAAGAGTGTGACAGACGAAAGATGTGGAAGCTTGAACAGGAAAGGATGGATACTTTCGAGCTGTGCGGAAAGGAACCGATGCCAAGGTATGAACGAATGCATGATGGTCGAAGAGGTGGTGAAGCTAGTGGTGGGTGTAAGAGCAAGGGCTCTGGGTGTGAATGGATGTAGGAACTGATGAAATGAGAGGAAAGAGGGAGTGTTTTACGAGTGATGAGGGTATGAAGAAAGCCGGGCTGCAACTGATGGCGGGAATGGGAATACTATGGGAGAAAACGGCACGCCATGATGGAGATAAATCTGAAGGAGGGGGCGAGAGTAATGGAATGGTGGAATGAGGGAAAAAGTGAAGAGTGGACTGCAATGATCGAGGGTGTGAAATGTCGAGAGTGAGAGAGGAAAATCAAAACCATGTTAACCATACCGAGTTTATATGAACTGTTTAATGATATATACTGTATAATGGCCTATTTTATTAGTCTCTAAGTAATTTCATTGAATGCATTTTTTTATTGAAAATATCGCCACGTACGGAAGGGAGATTGTTTTAAAAATTATTTTAAAACTTGAATTTGTGGCCCGTGGCTGATCGATTTAAAAGTTTGACCGGAGGTCGCCGGTCACCGCAATGCTTTCTCTATTATTACTCGGATGAAGTTTACTGTAATTGCCTTCGAATTGTCAGATATATGAGAAACGAGCATTTTTTCCTAATATTCCATACAAAATTTGATCACTTGAATCAAACATAAAACGGCTTATGCATTGAAATGCTAAATCGCATGACCTATAGGAATATATTTGCAAGCTGGCAAAAATTTGTAGTAAAAACGCAACACCTCACAAATCGTTCAGTAGAACAATGCATAAACGAGGTTTGCAGACAGAAATACCGGTCGAAGTGTCGGCATTGAAGAAATAGGCCCATGGCCTATTCCAAGATTTTCCTTCAAAAAGCTCTGTAGTCCAAACTTTTTTAATAGAGTACTTTAATATCGACTATTTATCTCAAGTCAGCTTCTAGCTACTTCCATATGAGTAAAAATAATGCGTAATATTCATAAAACCCTACAAGTCTTGATAACATATGCATTACTGGGCACTGGCATATTAGAACACGCAATGAACAGGGCCTAAGTTTCGTTAAAGCTTGGTGTTAAACAGAATAATAAACATTACTACTATGTGTACGTTTAAATCTTAACTTGAAGAAAAAATATCATTTAATGCAACCACTTCACGCAATTAGGTCGTAAAATTTTAGTATAGTTAGATTTATTGAAATTACTGTGATTGGAGGTAGAAATAATTAAAATTCTAAACAGAAGGATGAAATAAGAGGCAAATTGTTAACAATTGACTTTATTCGTCAGAGTCAATAAAGTCCTAACTATCTTCATCTATCTTTTCAGTACCAGTCATCCAGAGGGCCTGGAGGCTCTGGCCATACTGACAAATGCTATAAGTCATCGTCGCTTTCTTCGTCTTGAGCATTATCATCAACATCATCTTGATCACTAGCATCGTCTTCTTTGTCTCGATCATCGCTATCATCTTGGTCATCATCACCATCATCTTGACCTTGATCATCACTATCGTTTTCGTCGCCATCACCATCTTCGTCTTGGCTTTGATTATCACTATCATCTAGGTCATCATCACCATCGTCTTGACCTTGATCATCACTATCGTCTTCGTCGCCATCACCATCTCCATCTTGGTCATCATCACCATCATCTTGACCTTGATCATCACTATCGTCTTCGTCGCCATCACCATCTTCATCTTGGCCTTGATCATCACTATCATCTTGGTCATCCTCATCATGGTCATCATCACCATCATCTTGGCCTTGATCATCATCATTATCATCTTCGTTTAGGTGATGATTAGGAGCTTTGTTGGTGCCTGGTCGAGACACCATCGAGGATTTGCCATCAGCGGGTGTGTCCTGTTCAACACAGCAACAATAATTACCACATGATTGAATTGATGCAGAGTAAATTATACTGAATTAACAAACACAGATAATAAATTCAGCTGAGATTGTAATTCAAGATATGTTTACACAATTGACAAATAAATCGGTATTATTCACACGCTTGAATTTGAACAAATTTTAAACGCACCCAGTTCCTTTTGACGAACAACGTCCGGCCATCGATCTGCAGAAGAAATTTGAGTAAACAAAATGAAAGCAAACACTTTTCCCAAAACAAAGAAAAACATCAATGCATTCAAAAACACAATGCATTCAAATTACATCGCAGAGCTCATGTAATAGAGGTTTAAATATGATCATTATTATTCAAAATTTTCCCGTAAAATACAATTATTTCGATTCGATCATCTTGATTTAAGAAATAGAACATATTTCTAAACTTTTGCTGCAAATCCAAAATGCTGAAAATCCAAAAATGCTGCAGTTACTTCCACCAGTATAAGTGCTGGTACGTCGGAGCAGGCTGACGTGAGGGAAAAGATCCACTAAACATGTCATGAGAACAGGAGGAGTGGATGACTATATTATACATGTCTGGTCTAAGATATCTAGATAACCTTCCGAGAGAGAATAATGTCAAACACATGAGGGGCACACAAGCTAAAAATATAAATTATTGACGTTAATAATACGTACTTGTTGTCAATGAGAAATCTCTTTCATACTATCAACAACAAAACAATTAAGGAAATTCAGATGAAAACAATGCCTGTAAGGTATAAAAGTAAAAGAATATGCACAGCGAATGGAAGCATTGAGCAGGATTTATTGAAAATCAGAAGATTTGTTCATTGACAATTTGCTTATTGGTTTTTCTCAATACATCGAACTACTATGTATAACAATATAATACAACACATTGGCAATTTTCTCATTAGTTTTTCTCAGTATATAGAACTATATAGAAAAATACAATAAAACAAATTCTCTGGTCTTCAGTACCCCATGCTTAACGGAACAAATTCAGCCACGCTACCCTAATATCTGCACTAATAATACCAGTCAACGCACCACGTGTTCACGGGAGAGTGCAGCACGCACGCCTCTCTCCGAGGTGAAGAACACCAGACCGTAGGAGTGGTACCGTTTCTTGTTGTGGTCCCACTTGAGTTTGACCGCCCCAACCTCGCCGTCTTGGCTGAAGTGCTCCTCCAGTCGCTGACTGTCGGTGTTCGGGGGCACCCTGGCCACGAATATGGCGTGCATGAACTTGCCGTCCTGTGGTTATGAATAATAGGAAACACTGAAGACATGATTGTGATATTTATATTGTGCCATCCCTGGATATTGAATTATATTAATCACCGAGTATAATTGCTTCAGGCATTTATATTATGCCGTACTGGGGCAGTGATGGGTATTGAATTATACCAAGCACAGTACGAGTCCAAGAAAGCTTCATATATAAGCAAAAAGTCGGAAATACTGGCTTGTCACTGATTTCGGACGGACATAAATCATACAAAGTAAAATCATTGCCCATCGAAATAGCATTGCATCGTTTACGTCAAGTGTCGTCTGTCCAGTCAGTGGCATAACAGTTCTTAACCTACGAAGCGTGAGGCAAACAATGCGCATAAAGCAATAGGGAACGATGAGCATAATAACAGTAGTACCTGGGGCCGGATTATCAAAGCTTCGTAACTTTTTGTACTTACGACAAAAAAGTTCTGCGGTACGTAAATACACCCTAATTTTGGCATTATCAAAACTTTCGTACGCAAGTCTTAGCTAAAAGCCTAAATTTTTTTCCCGCGCAAATGTTTTTATAATACCACCGCTAATATTACGTTGTCATAGCAACGCCACTCGTAAGTCGATTTTGCGTACTTACGAAGTTTTGATAATACGGCCCCTGGTGAATAGACTGGCAAAAACTGTCAAATTTGATTTGTGTCCTCAATCTCATTATTGAGAGTAATTAAAAAAAAAGAAATACAAACAACAACTAATATATTGCACATGGAGCTTAAAAATTAAGAGTGTAAAAAATTTGCATTGAGAGCGAGTTGAAAGTGTCACAATCAGATAAGCATTATCATCTCGGCCGTTTTTTTACAATTTAGAAGACTATCAGGCCAGCAATCGCAGTGAACTTGAAACAAAACCAGAAGCCGGAGGAATATTACATTCTAATCAAAAATGCATGCGGATTACATGAAGGATCGTCTAGATTTGAACAAGTGGAAGGTCGTCTCCTAATAAATCTTTAAACCAAGATTACTTACGGCGTCTACGGGCGGAGTGTAATCCTTGTGTCGATGGTCCACCTGTAAAATATGGTTCTGGTTATCAACGAGATTATGTTGTACTCGTACATAGTACTACCCATGGTAGAGCTTTTGAAATGGAACCCAATGAAGATGGAAACAAAGACCTGAACTTTGTAAGGGAATTACAATCACTGTGTTTTTTTCAATCAAATGAATTTCTTCATTTGTTAACACTCATTTGTTGAAACTCGTTTGCTAACACTACACCCTAGTTTAGTGAAACGCCCAAACAAATTTCACTCAAAGTTCATAAATGTTTTAGGCACAAATATCATTATTACTAGACAAGTTTATTATTAGCAATAAGTGAGAAAAATTACATTATTAGCAATAAGTGAGAAAAGCCAATTTCCAGACAAGGTATATGTGCAATAACATCAAAGGCAAAATTGACATTTGATTTCAAGATGCGGTGGTGGAGAAAGTATCTCAAAAGGAGCCTGCTTACCTTGCTGTCCCTGACCAACAGGGCCTGATGATCGATCTGGAAAGAGGAAAGAATAAATGAGTAGAGATTAATTGCAACAGAATCTTCATATTAATGTACCAACTGCATGAATATTCACTTTTTAGAAAGGAACAAAACAAGAAGAGCTAAAGTAAAAGTTCTTTGAGTTTGCTAAAAAATAACAGTGATTTCTCAGTTTCTCCTTCTTCACAACATGTAAATTTATTAGAAAAAAGTGGTAATAATGATTAACGTAAATAATAAAAGTGGCTTGAGAAAACGTTTATTGTACCAAGAGCAACTGCAATGTTGAAACAGAACAAACCTCATGGTCTTCCGTAAGCGCCGCTTGCATGCTTTCTTTTTTCTCGAAGGTGATAAAAGCGACTTGCTTGGGTCTGTTGGTCTTGGGGCAGCGGGGCTGGAAAACCCTCGTGACTTTGCCGTACTTGGAGAAATGCTGGTGCAGCACACGCGCTGTCGTCTGCTCGCTCAGTTGGCCGACGAAAATCTCATTCTCACCATGTATGTTGTTCAGAACTTCTGCTCCCAGGGCCTGAATTAAAATAAATTGACCAAAATAATTCATAAATATTTTTAGAAAGTGAGAATATTTTGAGTGGTACTGTCAAATCTTGCATTCACAATCATAAACACATGCAGGTTTACCTGGTAACTAGCAATCATTAAATATATTGTCAGCAGTCATACAATAAGTTTATGCTTGAATGGTTATGGTCAATCACTTAACTAATTTGCCTACAAATTACGAGAAGAGAAAATAGCAAATAGAAATGCAAACCTTACATTATATACCTATATATATTTTTCAGTACCTCAACATAATTTATTGAAAACTTTCCTCAATTTTCTAATTACAGGCACCAAAATTTACTAAATTGTTAATGTACAAACATTGATAAAAAAAGCAATTCTTATAAAAAGAGCTAAGTTGATGACTTAAAAATAATTGAAACTAATGGCAGCAAGCAGTATTCTTCAATAGACTCACAGCTGCTCTGTTGGTTCCAACTTTCACTGTCAGGGAGCCGATCTGAAACGTATAAATGAATGTAAATGAACTATACATGTATAAATGACGGCTCTAAATTGTTTACTCAAATTTTAAACTTAATATTTTATCATTAAAAATTTTTAAACTTATTGTTGAATTATATCCATCCAAAATATCCTTGCATTTTTACATGGACGGATACAATTAAAGTGAATTGGTGGATTTCAAAGGTTCCTGTACAATATGTACGTTACTATATTATTAGTATTAATGCTTCTTTGCACTTGAAATTCAGAGAAAGGTAAGAATAAATTAATATGTTCAACAATGCACTAAAAAATATTGGAAATAATTAGTGGTCAACTACTGTACTTAACATATAATTCAGAAAGTTAACAGTTGATGAGTTTATACCTAAGCATTAGTCTTTTTGGTTTAGGCCAGACATTAAACCATGAGTGAATTTGAAGGTTTAAATCAAATAAACATAGGATATCAAACTATCGATGGATATATAAATTCATTTTTATAGTTGAAATTATTAATAGATTTGGAAAAATAAAATTAACACAGAATCATCAGGAAATGGGAATTTTCATTCTAACTTTTAGAACCCTTTATATAGGTATGACAAAAACTTGGAGAGAAAATAAAAATTCAATATTAAAACCCAGAAAATGTTTACACCTTAGGAAGCAGTTAGCTTACCTTGTGAGAGGGCTGAGCTAGAGTCAAGGTCTTAGCCTCAGGAGAATTGAATACAACTTGAGCATAAGGTTTGCTGATCTTGTTGTTGGACGGACAAACAACAACATTGCAGACATGTCCAAATTGTGAGAAGTATTTCTTTAGGTCTTCACATGGCATGCCTTTCTTGATGTTGGCTACATAAACAGTGCACCTGAACGCTTCACTCGATTTCTCTTTCTCAGGCTGCAAAAGAGAAAAAAAAATTTGTGCTTAGTTTGTATAAGGTTACAGGGAATTGAAGTTGAAAAAATTCCGGAATAAACTTCTAAACTTGGATATATTACAAGCATTTCATGATGATGGGTAAGTTTGATGACTATTTTGATAGTATACAGAAGTTCTTATGAGATAACATTACTTAATCATTCATGCCGTCCTTTCAGGATCGTTTATGTCAACAAAGCAAAATATAAGCTGGTAAGATTCAGAAGTTAAATTTCTGTTCTAAATCATTGTATATAGGTAGTCTTACATCAGTGAGGAAAAGAAATGAAATAGATGCAACAATATTATGTGTAAAATGTCTATTTCAAACATTTGTAAAGAATTTCAATGATTTGAGTGAAAGAAAAATTATGTATTTACCAACCTTATGCTTCTTGTCTTTTCGCACCAACACCTGTTCTCCTTTGATCTGCAAATGGCAATTAAGGAAATGACTTAAGCAATTGTAATTAATTTTTAGGGCTTCATGTTGAATTTATCTGCATTAGAGACATACAAATGAACAACAGTGATCTAGCATGGCATTTTCTTAATGTACCTACGGTGACCGTGCTGACCATATATTATGAACTTATCAATGCATAATATTTTGAAAAGTATTCTCAAGTGAATATATCTTAGAATAGGACATATTTTTGCAGTAAAAAATTAACAATTCAATTTCATCCGCATTTCTATCTCAACCTGCAAAATGTTAGAATAAACAGTTTTCTATTTCAGCTTACGCACCTCGTGTTTCTTGCAGGCCAGGGCAGCACGGACTGCCTCCTTAGCTCTAAACTTGACAATGGCAAATCCTCTGTTCTTCTGAGATGCATTTTTCTCCTTTTGAGCCATAGGAAGCACAACAGTTGAGATGACGCCAAATTTTTCAAAAGCCCTCATCACTTCAAACTTCTTAGTAGTGACTGGGATGCTGGAAACAAATACCCCAAAGCCCTGCAAAATAAATAAGCATGAGCATTCTTCAAATCAAATAATGATAAAACTATTAAATGGAACTTTCTGCAAATTCTACAAGATTTAATTCAAGTCCACAACACAGACCTGTCTTGACCCCAAGTTATATTAGTGGAGCTAAAAGCATGAGTAATGCTTGTGGTGGTTAAATTGCCAACTCATTGTAATCAGGTTAATGACTGGTCAAGTTAAATTTACATTTATTCATCAGTGAATATTTATGTACTAAGTGAGGTTCATCAGGCCTCAAGACAGCACAAAGAATACCTAAGTCCCTAGAAATTAAAAAATATCAATCTAGAATGGCCATTGTAGATAATTACTACTACAGTTCGAAACAATGGATTTTTCAGCTGTCAGCAATACTAAATCATTACAACCATTAGCTCTCTCTGGCATTTGATCAACAATTGATGAAATTTCATTTCCTAAATATGTCTTGGTAAGTTGATTTGTGTGCCCTTTAAATCCAACAGATAAAATATTAATTATCTATAGGTACCAGACTGCTGAACTAATTAATGAGCATTTGGTGAGGTAGACAAACAATATTAATGTAGAATTTGATGGCATCAAGCTCAACTGAATAGTATACATTAAAACATGTTGTGGTTCATTTATACTGTAGGTAGTTTAGAAAGAAAAAGAAAGATTATTTTTAGAGCATGAATGATTTCAAAATCTGATCCAACAATGAACTTTTTGTCAATGCTCATGCTCCAAGTTTTTCTTGAAGTATATGTATATATAGATAACAATAACCAAGAACCAGAAACTATATCAGTAACTTCCAATCTGTTCTATTGGTAAAAATAAAAGGCTGAGGTTGTAAATTTTTATCCCCATCAAGACTACAAGGTGTTAGCTCAACAATAAATCAGGGTCATTTGAACACAAAATACTTCTGGCCCAAATAAAAAAAAACAAAATTATAACTTCTATTACAAAAATTCTTCTTCAAGGATATCACTTGTATTAATGGCACGTACCTGCAAAATGTTGTAATTAACTGAGCCAGAAGAACAAATTTAATTTTAAATAATATTTGGAGCAGGTTAAAGCCTTTTGATTGTCTAGAGGAGAAAAATTTCCAGCCGTGATAGAAATGGTATAAAACCACAAAATGGCATAACTTAATCAATAAAATCCTTCTGCCAAGTCTTGGAAGACTCAAATTTTGAAGTCTGTAGTTTAACACATAGATGATACACACTGGAACTGCTACAATTATATGGATTAAAATAATTTGATAAATTGATTGAAACAATTTTATAGTAGGTAAATTAAAATATAAAATAAAAACTAATAGTAACTAAGGAGAATATCTTATTCTCTAACTTACTTCATCTGCAAAGTTGTCAGTCTTCTTCTTTTTTGATAATGTTGGACAAGCTGCTTCATCTTTGGATTCATCTGCATTATCTTCAGAGGAACGTTTGCGCTTCTTCTCAATTTTTTTATTCAAGTTCCTCTCACTTTGTAAAGAAGTTTTCTTGTCAATTCCACTATGAATATCTTTGGCCAGTAACTCTGATTTGTGTTCAGATTCAATCTCATTTTTAATCTTTGAATTTAATAGACCCACTTTTTCTTTTTTATTCTTCCTTGTTTCTGTCTTGCTTCCTAACTTTTTAACTTTCAATTTTGCCATTTTTGCTCAATTCATAAAACCAGAAGCACAGCAATGAGATTCATAAAGAAATCAAGCCTGCAACACAAATAATATTTATATTAATTATATGTGCCTATATAATTATATGAATTGCAGGTGGTACAGTGGTACTCATTGGTCTTGGCAAAGGGCCCCTGGTCTTGGTGACAGGAGTGGCGCCCTTTGCCCCCTTGCGGTTGTAACAGGAGACAGAACTTCTTAAGAATTTAAATAATTTAATTTTAGATCAAAGACGTTAAGGAGCGCATCTGGGTCCAAAATCAACAATTTTGGCTTTTCCAGTTTTTAGTCTCATCTTAAAGCTGACATTCTGACCTATCCAACGGTACCAAAACGATCTCTGTACATTGATTTATGCATTCACAACAGATCGCAAAAGGGCAAGGAGTGGTAGAGTTCTTTAACATTTAACCCATTAATGCCGAGCGGTTCCATTTGGAACCAGAGGAAAAAAATGGATTCATAATAAAATTGTATGGTCAAATCAATATACTAGTGGATGTGTAGGTTTGATACACATCTTGTACATGTTCTGGCAACGTTTGGTTCTGCTGCACCGACTACTCCCTGCTCAGTTAACATTAAAAGATTGTAAGTACCGGGTGTCAGACAGAAGAGCTTGACATCATTGCAGAGAAAGGTAAGTAGTTCGTTCTAAAAATATATTATTTATAAGTTAGATGCAGAATTTTATCAACAAAGATAGTACTTTTAATGCTGTATATGGTATTATGTGATATAATGTTTCTAAAGTCATTTAGATCATGAAATATTTTGTCTGGTTCCAAATGGAACCGCTCGGCAGTAGTGTAAGCATTCCGGTCATATCATTTTCCCAGTAGATTACTATGTGATATAGTTACGCATTGTATTTCAAAAACTGGTTTGTATTTAGAAATTATTTATTTAGATCTTAGATCTACAGTTTTTCTGTTATTTATTAGTGAACTATTATCTTTAGAGCTGTTAGGAGTATATATCCCGAAAGTTGATATATTTGGAATTAGGTACGTACGTAGAACACTTCAATTTTTCATCCAAGTCACTTTTTTCTAGTTGTATTTTTGGCAGATCATCACATGAAATAATTAAGATTTCGATAGAAGAATAACACAAAGATCAGATATTTGCGATTGAACCTTTCACAGAAGCAGCAACAAACAAAACATACTGAGATTCAGATAACTCAGATGACGCAGCCACTAGCAATTCTGCTCGCCGATCGAGAATAGTCATTGTAGCAACAGTAATTGCCAAATGTGAAAACAATGACTATCGACAGAGAAGAAAGTCATCTGTGGTCGACATGGCCACATTATACTACGATATATACGTGGCTAGCCCGTGAGTTTTAGTTATAAACTTTGGCCAGCAGATAAATCAGATGATATTTTTCTGCTATTGAAGCCAATTGGCACATCTAATAGAAAAATAAACTTATTCATGGGCTGGAACATGGATTGGTCCCATAAACACGATACAATTGGTCCCAAGCCAACATATTATATATGTGTGATATCTATTCTGGTTTCATTTGGCTTCTCAAAAATTTTGAAAAAAAAAAAAGAATGGCTATTGCAATAAATTTTCAAAAATATCGGTTAGGAAATGCAATAATGCAGGAGACCCTAAATAAAACAATCAGGGTCTATAGTGCACCCTTCTACTTCGATCCTTGATGAAGTGCAATACAACAATCAACAACATCGGCCAGCAAAGAGACATCAGAAGCGATGTAAATGCAGTGCTTCGTAAACAATGTTGACAACGCACCCACAAACATTCGTAAAATGGGAAACCTTCCTATTCATTTTGAATGAATGGAAGCATTTTATGCTAAACATTGAATTGTATTCTGCCATGATTGGTTTATCATCAGTATTGTCCATTATGAATACGTATACTATTACGTATTATCCATTATGAACAACCTTGCTTGATTTACTATCGGAAAAAGTGTTGTTTGAAGAAATGTTATGTTAATGCCGAGCGGTTCCATATGGAACCAAGCTATAATTTTTCACATACAACGAAAAATAAAAATATGAACATACTTTTTGCTTATTACCATCACAAATGATAATATTCTCACAAGGAACCGAAAAAAAATTCAGAAAATAATTCTCGTCATTAATGGGTTAATATAGGGAATAATTGCCGCAGTGCACCTTAAATAGCTAGTCTTCACACTCTCCGCTCCAGTAACCCTTCTGCAGTCATGTGGGATGGTTTGCGCACCATCGTTCACACCCTCCTTGACAGAAACTAAGCTCCAGTATAATCTTGTCTTGCATCCTTGAATGCTGATTTTGAGGCACCTTGGACTTAGTCAGGCTCTCCTGAACATTGACACTTATAGTCACCAGAAAACTATCTCCTCCTACAGTTTTGATGCTACAGCAATGAGAGATATACCATTCAATTTGAAAATAAAAGATCAAGAGATTGGTTGCATATTTTTTAATTTTTTTTATAGTTTTGAAAATATTTTGGAAAAAGGGGATATTGAAAAATTTTCAAAAATCTTACAAAAAATGCCCCCACGCCCACAAAAATATGAATTTCTAAAAAAGCTACAAAGAATTGCTAGATATGGTCTTTACGCATCGAATAATATGTATCTCGATGTTGTAGCATGAAAATCCTAGGAGATAGATTTCTACAGTACCCCCTTTTTGGCTGTTTTCTAAGAACTTCAGGTTTTATTTCATTTTTACAACACTTCTCTTTTACTTCATTTCTTGTTGTTTGTTTGTTTGTCTGTCTGCCACAAATCTTATAATCAATATTTAACACACTTCTACCTGTCCAATCAATCTGAAATTTTGCACACTTGCATTAAGTTGGAGACAATGCATGAATCAATTGACAAAATAAATAATTTTGAAAATTAAAAAAAATTTTCAATATTAAAAAAAATTGACAAAATAATATTGTCAGCTAGGTACAAATGTTTTAAATGACATTTGACACACTTCCACCTGTCCAATTGATCTGAAATTTTGCATACTTGTGTGAAGTCAGAGGCAATGCATGAATCAATTGACAGAATAAATAATTTTGAAAAAAAAATTATATATTAAAAAAATTTGAAAAATTAATTTTTTTAATTTTCAAAAATAAAATGAGAAATTCATTGTACATCTTTAACATTGGAAACACTGGATTCCTTAAAAGCTTTAGAAATGTATATTGTTAAAAAAATTTATATGAACAAAAGTCTTTGATTAGCTTTATGATTTACATATATGTACCAAGTTTCAAAGTGATCCGTCTGTTTATAAAAAAGCTTTTCTGGGATTCAGATGCTCCCCTTAAGACAATAGTCACCCCAAATTATAGTGAAAAATCAGAGATTTTTTGGAATCGGTTCATTTTACATCACTTCTCTTTAACTTCACTTCTTGTTTGTCTGTCTGCTACAAATCTTATAATCAATATTTACCACACTTCCACCTGTCCAATCAATCTGAAATTTGGCACACTTGCATAAAGTTGGAGACAATGCATCAATCAATTGACAGAATAAATAATTTTATAAATTAAATTTTTTTTCATTATTGAGGGGAGCGTCTGGCCAAAATTTGGGGATTTTGGCTTTTCCAGTTTTAGTTTCATCTTAAGGGGAGCGTCTCCCGAAAAATCGAAAATTTTCACTTTTTGGGTTTTTACACTCATTTTAAAGCTTAGAAAATTACGCTTCTAACGAGACTAAACTTGTCTCTCTACGTCGTCTGGTTCTCGTACACCAGCCAACAGAAGCAAGCCGGTACCGCAAGCCAGCCTCAGCAGGTAACCAGCACGCTGGCAACCGGCTTTCACTGTGTACGTACCCTAAGAGAGGTCACACCGGTGTAAACATTGAGCTGTGGAATTCAACGTTTACAGCACATTTACGATGGAATTAAAACTAATCATCGTTGCATCTTTGTTGGCATTTGTAGCTGCTGAGTCATCTGATGTGCTTGAATTGACAGATGCTGATTTCGACAGCAAACTTGCCACAATTGATACCGCTCTTGTAATGTTTTATGTTCCTTGGTAAGTACGCTGTACAATGCTATTTTAGTTAGCTATAGATTCATTCGATTCGTAGACTTGAAATGGTTTCAACTTTGCCGGTTATGAAGCATGATGAATCATTCAGATTTCACTTTGTCTTAGTATTTTATATTTAAATCGTCCAACACCTTACATTTTTATCACAATCCATTGAGAATCAACCATCAATAAGACTTAAGAGTCTTAAGACTAAACTCTGAGGCTCTGAGTGAGCCATCATGTTGTGAGTTTATGTTGGAATCGACCGTTAAACTTCCGTTGGCTTGTTCATCAACATTTCAAAAATATTCTATTGATGAAATTATTAAACCATACTTTTTCTCAATGCCTTCTATTTATGTACAGGTGTGGCCACTGCAAAAGACTGAAGCCTGAATTCGCCCGAGCATCTACAGACCTCAAAGACAACGACCCTCCTGTGATCCTTGTTCAGGTGCTTTTACAACATGCCTAATGGTTGATATTTGTGAACTTTTGTTGTCATTGCTTCAGATAATTGCAAATATGTTTATAGTCAGACTTGTCATGAGCTCTAGCTGCTCTACAGCATCTAGGACTGCTACTCTACGGTCCTACATTAAGTCTGAATGGCTTAATTGTCAATTTGTCAGTAATAAGTAACTGACTTGATTTTTATAGGGAATTTGGCAGAGTAAATTAATTTTAAAAGTTGGATCATAAAATTACTTGCATTGATATAACAAACTATTTCCATATCACAAAATTTGCATTATAATCACAATTTTTGTCTCTTTTAATGTTTAAATAGTGAAGTTCATTGATGCCTAGGTCCTGGCCTAGAGAATAGAGTAAATTTCTACCTCTCCCATCAAGCAGCAAACAGAAAGACTTCATAGGTAGGTATGCCTTTAATGTCTGTAAGTGAAATGTGTTGAGTGCTCTTATTTTTTCCTTTAGCGTTTGAAAATTTGGATGATGAATAATCTTTTCAATGAAACCAGGCCTGGCAGGCCACG